TATATATATATATATATATATTCACCAATATGTCTACAGCCTAGTGATGAAAAATCATTTATTTGACACACGTTTCTTTTGAAAATACTTGCCTTGTCAGATTACGGACTTCTACACGAACTTCTAATTCAAATTATTGTAAACCTTATATTTATTGAACGCACGTGCATGAGTAGACATTTAAATTTCTTTAAATGTTATCATTATCTATCGGCCTGGGTTTTCGATGGTCTTTAATAACGTAAATTTACTCTTTGGCATGGTTTCGAACTCGAGCCCTTCATGCAAAAGAAAACACTGTGTAGCTTGGCGTGCTTTTAGTCCCCTCTGCCACGATCAATTTTCACAGCGAGGCAAAGCTCAATGACCTTTATGAAGCAATATATATGACATTGATGATTTTATCCAAAAGAAACACTCTTTAAATTATACTCATAAAATACCTATGATTCATCCTTTTCTTTTATAATTTGTAAACTTAATTAGATGCAGAATATGTTTCATTCATGCAGTACCGAGTATATCTATAGGTTTAGCAGGCTGAAGCCTTGTGCCTCAAAATCTAGGAGGTCTCCAGCCAATATGTATAATATTTTTGACAGTCATAAGCCTTTCTTATACATGCTGTCATAACGCATTGTAAACTCTAAATAACCCTTCAGTCATCATCCTCGGCTTTACTCAAATTGTTTAACTAACAATTTTCTATTTTCTTGAGAATGGGGAATGAAATATTTTGATTACAATTATCATTGTTTTTTCTCTGAACAATCTAACTAATATATGTATCATGAATTGTTTTTTTTAAATAATCAATTTTGTCATTTCTTTAAATGCATCGGCCAACGTTTAAATATTCAAATATTACTGTATTTCTTATTTGCAGGTTATTTTTGTTTATAAAAAAAAAAGTTCGTTTGTTATAATTAATAATGTTATGTATATAATTTCTTAATATTTATATTTTCACTATGTACTGAATTACTTTCGTAATCTCCACTTAACGTATTATATGAAAAATATTTTAAGCTATTAATATTTTCAAAGCAAATTTGCTACTTCCTTCTACTTTATTGCAACATCACTTTTTTCCAGTCCTTCATAAAACTCTTCGAAAATAGTTTCTCGATACATTTTTGTATCAAAACTGGTCGCTAAAAATATACACCGTGGGATTTTTTGAAAAAAAAAGACAAGGAGAATATTTTCCCCGTAGAATTTATCACTTATGTTCCTATTTTTTCAGTTTTCCTCCCGTTAAGCAGTTAAGGTTCTTGTAATTACAATGAGAAAAACAGAATACGTCTTCTTATATCTATTTCTTGAAAAAGTTAATCACATAAAAATTAAAATAGTTTGCGTAAAAATTACTTTATTTTGGTAGGTAATTACATTCATAGACTGTTCTCATAAAGGATATAATATTCTTTTGCTTGATAAATAAATTGGTATCGAAAAGGCAATACAAAGATGCAATATATAACGAAATATGAAGTTAGTTAAATCTCCGTCTACAATATCATTATATTATAACCCTATTTCACCAAAGGAACCTAAATTGCTTTACAAAAGACCCGTCGCTATGTTCCCTCAAATGATTGAGTGTTTTGTTTCAATAATTGAATATAAATATTGTCCAATCATAAGGTTTCAAAAGGCTTTCAACGATTTTTTCACTTTTGCATGAATATATACCATATTGATTGTTTCTGTGAGTATGTTAAATGTATACTTATGTGATGTAAGTATTCTAGTTACTTGCTGCTCTTCAAGTAGTCATCTACATTTGAAAATTTGTGTAATAGAAAAGCATCTTACCCTTATCATCTTTTAAGTCACCAGAGATATGATTCGTATAACGAGAAACTACATAACTTGTAGCTTGTAAACTTTCTACTTTCGTACCAGCAGTCTGCAATTGCCAGGATATGAGAAATATTGCATGAAGTGAATATGACTAAACTGTCAACAAAATGTTACCGGCATTACGATTGAAAGTTTGAGGAATATAAGAGATGTACAGACTAAAGAACATAAGTACATTTTTTTCTAACTCTTAGTCCTGGGACAGACTATTTTTTAAACATTGAGCATGTTTTTTATAATGATGTGTTCTTTCTCACCTATATTCATTATTTTTTGTTGAGATATTATATATATCAAGGACGTGCCGTCTAATTAGGCAGCGCCTACCTTGAATAAAATAGATCAACAGCTACATTTTCCTTCTGCATCACAATATGCACCTAATCCAACAACATTATAAAAGTTACTCTGATTACTATGCATAAAATACAAAATATTTGTTTTTTTTTTGTAGATTTACTACAAAAAAGGTCGCAAGCTGCCTATCCTGAGTAATTACTGACAGCACTAGTTTTATATATATATATATATATATATATATATATATATATATATATATATATATATATATTGAGATAGTAGATATTCATCTAAACAAGTTTGATCATATACAGCCTATGTCTATCCTGATATACATTTTATTTGATAATTGAAAAAATACAATTATAAATTAAACACTGGCCTTTGAATCAAATATATACACGAGGTGCAACAATTTCATTCCCGTAATGGCCAACAGTAAGCAACATTTGCTCACCTGGTCACTATTGGCTGCTGTCATCTTCAAAGTACACTTTTAGTGAAGCAATGCACTTCTTGAGACGATGGTCCAATTGATGGATAGTTTCCAGTCGTGCTGCTGGATGTGAGATGTCAGCAAATTTTATTAAAACCACCTTGTATCATTGGTAATGATTCTGTCAAACATATCTGGATTATTGACAATATCATATGAGACGTTAAGTTAATGTTGATTATTCTCATTATTAAAGAATTGAGGTAACATCTCTAAAGAAATCTTTCTCATTCCTAAATCATGTCTTCGAATCTATCGTGCTGTTTTCTCCGATTCATATTCAGTTTTTCAGTCGTCCAATTAATCCTCGTTCAGTACGAACCGTGGTTAGCATACTATCCACATCTTTTCTTTCTATTTGTGAATGTACTCTTTGCTTCATCGTGCACATCTCGTTCTTCGTTGAACCGCTCATGCTACTCAAAAACACTTGATTTCTTCATGCAATCCACTGATGTCGCCTACCATAACGTAGTATGAATTCCAAGAATTTAAATACACTTTAGAATGCCTATTCCAGAATCATAAGAGATGGTCTTTATTCTTGGTTGTTTTTGCCTTAATATTAACAGCTTCTAAAATATGCACACACACCCACACATTGCTCAAAACAGAGAACCTAGTATAGTGTTAGGTTTGCTTAAATGTCCATTGATCTTATATAGATGATTTTATATAGCGTGATTATTATGTTAAGTTTTAAACTTTTATAACCGATAATATATCGCAGATATTTGTAGTATAATATTTATGGTTGGCTTGAATATTTTATTTTCTTTGTGGGCCATATAAATGTTTGAGAAAGAAAAACCCAAATGGTTACACACATCGACACCGTCTGTGTGCATGTAAATGTTGCTGAGGTTGTCATAAAATGGAACTTATGTCATACATGCTAGTAACATTTTATTTTTTTAAATATAGATTGCTTAATTATAAGTGGAGATGTCTATGGTAACGGAAACTATTTGCCGTTTCCCTTCAAGAGAACATCCTGTATTCATTGACCGCACAGTCAGTACTGCTTTTGATTGAAAGATTTTTCAAGTCAAGTAGCTGTTATCGCCCTTTCCAGTATTGATAGGGGGGTTCCGTCCTTTATTGTGGAATGTCAGCATCTTGAATAAGTTATCAATTTTTTGGTTGTCCTCAAGTGATCTGGTTTTTGTTATTTGGTACAGTTCATTGTTTGTGATTCTGTAGCGTCAGTTCACAATTTTTAAAGAAGGACGGTCTTTGCCAAGAACCTCGGACTTCTTCAGTCGCTGAAAGCCATTTTTAACCATTGATCTTGGAAAGGGGTTGTATACAACTGATGGGTTTGGCGCAATACATGACAATCTATATGAAAGACACGATCTGACCAGGCTATTTAAGAACATAACACGAGATTTCGGTTTGATACTTTTGATTTGTAGCCTGTTCTATATTCAATTTCCTTATTTCCTATGCTAAGTTTTTTTTTATAACTTATCATACGTCAAGGTGTTTGAAGTATTTAGTATTTACTAATTCCAGATCCTAAATTTTGTAGGATGGGTTTCAGCGTATGTGCTATCACTGCTTTCATTCCAATTCAAGATCATAGTTTCTATTTTGGAAGCTTTATTTTTCAACTTCCCGAAATCGAAACTAAATTTTGATGGGGTCGAGAATTTTTCAACGCCCCTCGAATGTGTTAGACTATAGACTTATTGATGTGCCTTCGTATATTACAAATATTTGGAAAGTGGCGAAAATGAAATTTCTGTTGAAATTGTTGAATTTCTTTCGGTAACATTTTGAAAAACGGAAAATCGATCTATACGTGTATGATTAGCAATACGCTTTGATTTCTGTCTTGGATTTTGGTTAATTGATTTCCAATAATTGATTTTCGATTCTACTGCTTCATTTTATTTTCATGATAGCGAAATCTTATATCAAATGATAAAACTGTTGATTTCCACCAAATATTGGATTATGACGTTTCAATAGTTCACGTCATTTCCGTTTCCTTTCTGCCGTCTTTCCTTTTATCAATATTTCTCCTTCCCTTTCACTTGTCCTCATTTTCTTTACTTCTTTCCTCTCTCTCTCTCTCTCTCTCTCTCTCTCTCTCTTGCACACACAAACACACACACACACATACTCACTCACACACACTCTCCACTTTTCACACTCTCCCTCACACTCTTTCTTCCACATACTCTCTATCACACTCCCTCTCTCACTCTCCTACACACTCTCTCTCACACACACACACTCTCTCTCTCTCTCTCCCTCACTCTCTTACCCACTCTTTCTGGTCATTCGGTTCTATTGAGATATTTACTATATTCTAACTTTGCCAATAAAAATGACTACAATCGTACAACTCTTTTTCTCTTGTCAGTTTTCAAGTTTTACTCGATTTGTTGCACATTCTCTCGCTATAATTTCCTACATAATCATTTATTCCTGCTTTCCTTTTTTCTTCTTCAAACGTTATCCTTTCGTCACCGATAAATATTAAAACAACAATGTTTTTAGAAACTTTATCGCTTATTTTATTGAATTCGTGCTTCTCATCTGCACATTTCGGATAGAGCTTGACACTAAAATTTGAGGAAGAACTTGATCCTAATTTTTTCAAAGCCACCTGCTCTAAATCTTGTTCTAAAGGCCTGTGTTTCCATCCACCCCTTCTCTCTCTCTCTCTCTCTCTCTCTCTCTCTCTCTCTCTCTCTCTCTTTAACATATACTTATTTAGTTACTGTATTAAATATAAAAATATTTAATAGATTTCAAACAAGACATTCATTACATGTAAAGTACAGGTTAAGAAAATAGTTTGAACGTCCACTATCAAAACTGAAAATTCAATGGTCGTCAAGGTTCAAAACTAAAATGGCCGACGAGTAGATAGATTTGGCGATTTCGATTGCTAAACTTATGATCATTGCGTTCTTTCGAGATATTTATTATAGTCTACCTTTCCCTATAAAAATGACTCCAATTGTACAAGTCTTTTTCTCTTATCTCATTCTTCGAGCTTTACTCGAGTTGTTGCGTATCTGGTATTTATAAAACGTCTTTTCTGAACTGGCGTGAGTATAACAGATGTTCGAAAATTATTTAATAGATTATTGTGACTTGATAGAGAAACTAAATGTACATTGGCTTAAAAACATTTTCTTTCTAAGTGCGCGTATAAACGCGAGTGGATGCAAGTCATAATTCTTATTATTTTCAGATTTATATTTCATTCAATATATAAAAAAGAAATGAAAGAAATAAATGCCCTGCTATGATTCTATCGGGATTTTGTTTAAATTTCCGTAAAAGAATAATCGTTTCTGTCTGGAAGATCTACTTTAAAAAATTCAATTCTATTGTAACTCCATTTTTCACGATTTACCAATTCAAACAATATGATCCGCAGTTGTATTCAGTAAGTTCGTCGTTACCCATTTTTAACTGTTATTTAAATTCAAGCAATATTTCTTTTGAAAATTGAATTCAACAGATTTTTTTAAGAACACTATGTGTGGAGTGCTGACGCAGATTTCCATGACCCTGTTACACTGTTTGAAGCCTTTATAAAAGACCAAACTATTAAATGGGAGAAATCAAGGTTGATAGGAACTGTTCAAATTTTAATTAGCTAGAAGAACTATCTTTTTTTACATTACTTGTGAAGCAGTGACAAATCATTTGGGAGATAAACAGATTTTCCTATTTTTTTAATTTAATTAGTAGATAGTTACCAACATTTTGCAAATAATTGTTTCGTGTATTTTACTTGGATTTATTTGAGCCGGAGTCACACTATTAAATCCAAACAATTTACTGATATATATATATATATATATATATATATATATATATATGTGTGTGTGTGTGTGTGTGTGTGTGTGTGTGTGTGTGTGTGTGTGTGTGTGTGTATCGACTCGAATGTATTGCCAGCCATAAGTTAACAACCCTCTTATTTTTGGCAATTCATCTTCCCTTTGAACGAATCTAGAAAGGAAAACGATGTTACAGTGATCCATTTCTTCTGCCCAATTTTTAAAAGCAAAATGTTTTTTCCCATTTTAGCAACTGTCTGAATTTCATTGTTTCTTTGTTCTTCTTTGAATTCCATTGAGCTGAACTTCAACCATTTTCAAACGCTAATATTTCTAGTCAAATTCTGAACATCTGCAATAGATTAGATGCAAAATATACAATTAAATAACGATACATGCCATTCTTTTCAAGAAAATTACATATAGGTTTTCATGGCCATACAGCACAAGAAAGAGGAACAGTACTTATCAATTCTTGTTAATATAAGAACAAGCTGGCATAATTAATCATTCAACTTATTTTCCTCCATACAATGCGATCAGGATTTCCCCTTCCAATTATAATTCAATCTTTATAATGACAATAAAATGATTATCCTTAATTAATGGACGATTTGGATTGGTTGATTCAAATGAAGTAGATTATTTGATGCTTGTCAACTTGTAGGTAAATTGTTGGAACTGTTACGTATCAAAATGAAGTAACGTTTCCTTTCAATAATTATTCTCGTTTCCTAAGTGTTCTCTGAAAAAGAATTCCACAGAACCTCTTCACGATTCTTTCGGTAATTCTTCTGAACAGACAATTGCCGTTCTTAAATATCGATTAGGTAATATTTTTTCTCCGACTGGATCATTATTTTTCTTCTGTCTTTCTATTTTTCATATGAATAAATCCGAACGTAAATACACATCGTTATGAATACACAACCTAATTTCTCGATTATTTTTCTACTGTTATCGTTTGTTTACTAATCTGGTATTCAGAATTGTCATTGCATCAACAATGGATATAATCTATGGAGTCAG